GCAGGTGGGGAGGCCAAGGAAACGGGTTGGGACCCTCCAGCCTGGCACTGTGCGTAGAGAGCGAAGGTCTGATCGGGATTGGGGCGGGATGAGGACTGTAAGGATGGGGCCCCACACTGCCCCGCCCTGCACCTCGGGAGCCCAAGGAGGGCGGCGGGGACCCTTTGGAGTGGGGGTCTGGGGTAGCTGGGGGTGGGGCCTGGGCTGTCCAGGCCCCGCCCCGCGGAGCTTGCCCGCTCCGCCCCCTCCGCGGGGTCCTGAGCGTTAAAAGGCGCGCGGGTCTGGCCGGGCGGCACTTGCATTGCACCCGGGCGGAGGGCGGCCACGACGGGGCGGGCGGACTCACGGGCGCTCAGAGCCGGCCTCGGGTCCTCGGCGCCAGGCGCTCGAACCCTCAACCCGACCCCCACCCGGCCGGGGACCCCGACCCCGACCCGGCCCGGCCCGGCCCCCGACCCCGACCCCCGGGCCGATGGACTACTCCTACCTCAATTCGTACGACTCGTGCGTGGCCGCCATGGAGGCGTCCGCCTACGGCGACTTCGGCGCCTGCAGCCAGCCCGGCGGCTTCCAATACAGCCCCCTGCGACCCGCCTTCCCCGCGGCTGGTCCGCCCTGCCCCGCGCTCGGCTCCTCCAACTGCGCGCTCGGCGCTCTACGCGACCACCAGCCAGCGCCTTACTCGGCAGGTGAGCCCAGCCCTGGCCCAACCCTCCCTCCAAATCCTGCGGAAACCCCAGCCCCTGCCCTATTTGGCAAGTGATTGCGACTGTCCCCCACAGCCGCCACCATCCTTGCCCTCCAACACCCGAGGGATCCCCAGCCTCCCTGTAAGACGGGCCTCCCGTAGGCAGAGTTGAGCCCCACCCTCTCATCTTTCCCCTTCTCGTGCTCTTCGGGTCAGGGAAATAGATCCCTGGCCCAGCCCCAGGCCCCTCACCAGGTCCTCCCTTCCCCACCTGCAAAGACTGACCACCAAATCTCTCCATCTCCGTATCCTTGGAAGATGCTCCCGGCTCAGTCCAATCAGATCTCCATCCTTATCCCCACCCCACTTCATGTCTGACCCCAACAAGGGCTCCTGCAGCTGCTGAGCTGCCCAGATGGAAACCTTCCTAGAGCCCCAGAACCATCAAGCCCCTCCTGCCCAGTTTTGGACCCATCCTGCCTGTGCCCAGACCCTCTTGCACCACTGAAACCTCCTCCCTTACTGGACGAAAAGAGTGTCCAGGTCATTAAGCCACTTTCATTCCCCTCTCCCAGCTAGAGTCCTACAGAACCCAGAAGCAGTCTCCCAGTACCTCCAAGCCTCTTGATCTAAGTCCCAATCTGAACCCTCAACCTCATGGAGCCTCACCAGCCATCTCCATCTCTCCGGTTAGAGTCCAGGCTGCCCCACCCAATCTCCTTATCATCTTCTTTCCTGGGAAGACCACTGGGACCCAAATAGAATATTGGGGCCTAGGGAGTGGGAAGGGATGGTGAGATGGGGACCTGGATTTGGAGAAATGAAAACCAGCAAGGTGGAGCCAAAAACTGGAAAGGCGATGGGGAGATTGGGTACTCTGGGCCAGATGAGGATGTGGATTGGGGAGATAGGGTCAGGAAATGGGGATATGGGCCCCACAGAGATGGAGAAATGAGAACAGGTATAGAGAGGTGTGAGCAAAGATGGGAAGACTGGGGGCCCTGGAAGAAATGGGGACCCAGGGTTGGGGAGATGGAGATAATAACTATGTGATGGGGACAGGAATTACGGGACATGGGGACCAAGGAAGATTAGCAAGAGATGAGGAAGATGGGGCTAGGAATGGAGTGTTGCAGACAAGGATTAGGGGGAGATAGAGAACTAGGGATGTAGGACAAAGATGAAGGATATTGGGGACCCCTGAAGAATATGGAGACTTAAGCAGGGGTTGGAGACAGGGATGAGGAGATATTGTCAGAAACACTGTAGGGCAGCGGGGACTGGGATGGGGTAAAAGAGACAAGGATGGGAAGAGAATGAGGGAGAGCAGTGGGGCTGGCTGTGGGGGAGTCGGGTCAAGAGAGAGGTGCCTGGAAGGAAGAAGAAGGGCAAAGAGATGGTATAGGAACCTGGGTGGGGGAAAATAAGGACCCTTTTCAATGGGCACAAAGAAAAGAATGGTCCAGGAGGGGAAGCTGAAGAGAGATGTGGATGGAGAAAGATGAGGAAGAGGAGAGGACACCTGGAAGAGAATGGGTTGTGAGATGGGGCTGAGGAAATGAGGCCTGGGAGGAGAGAGATGGCAAGGTCGAGGGGGCTAAGTCCCTACATGGCAGAAAGTACATGGCAGGGCTCACAGTGGACCCAGGCCAGGGAGTCTCAGTCGCCCAGGCGGGGGCCAGAACTGGTTACTGGGAAGACTCATGATGATGATGAGACTTGGCAACCAAGGCTAGGGTGGACAGAGCAGGGCCTGAAACCAAGCGGGCAGGTTGACCAAGGTAGAAGCACGCCAAAGCAGAGGTTGCAGGCGCAGGTGGACTGGAGGGAGGTGAGGGAACACGGGGAGGACCGGGGACAGGTCTTGACCTGAGGATCAGATCCTGATTCCCTCGCTGCTGCTCTTGGGCCCCAGATCTCCCTGCGCCCTGTCCGCCTTCACTCCTGCCGGCTCCCACTGAGCGACAGGGAAGACGCTCAGTTAGAGACTGAGCGAAGGAAGCCGAGGGGCTGGGTCAGGGGCGGGGGACCGCGAGCGATCTCAGGGGCAGGACACAGCGGGCTGAGCTCGGCCCCTCACGCCTCCACCCTCGTCGCTCCCCCCTCCTGCACACACCCCTAGTGCCCTACAAGTTCTTCCCGGAGCCGTCGGGCCTGCACGAGAAGCGCAAGCAGCGGCGCATCCGCACCACGTTCACCAGCGCACAGCTCAAGGAGCTGGAGCGCGTCTTCGCAGAGACTCACTACCCCGACATTTACACACGCGAGGAACTGGCGCTCAAGATCGACCTCACTGAGGCTCGCGTGCAGGTGCGTGTTTGCGTGTGTGTGCAGGAGTGTGCGCGTGGAGGAGGGTGGGAGATTAGTGCCCGATACCTGGGGGCCGCGGGACAGAGGGGCCTCAGTTGGGTGGCAGGCAGGTGCAGCTTGGAGGCAAAAAGCTGGGGCTAGGGGCCAGGGCGCAGTCTGGGGGTGGTTGGGCAGGAGAGGATGGGCAACCTGGGGAGGCAACGGGGCCAAGACTTGGCAGACCTGAGGCCCTCGGGAGAACTGAGTTCTTCAGCCCCACGATTTCCCCCTGGGTCTCCTTAGTAGGGCCAGGCATGTAGAGGGATGCCTGGGAATTCTGGAAGGAGGCCGAGTGGGTAGAGTGGGAGCCAGGCAGACGAATCCGGGAAAGCCAGCGAGCGCCTCCATGTCCCCTCCCCAGCTCTGCTGCTGTGAATTCTCTGAGTCCGAAACCCAGGGCTCTGGGCCGGCTCAGGGCTCAGGAGGGCCCGCCCAGATGGACTCTGTTGTCTCTCTTACAAATCCAAGTACAGATGTTCAGCTGGTCCGCCTTCACTGGAGACCCTGAACAGAAGGTTTCCTCTAGTGCCCGAACCCGTTCTCCACCGCCGTGAGACACTCCAGGTGGAAATTCCTGGAGCTTCTTGTAGGAAGGAATCGGGGGCAGGGCTTTGGGTGATGAGGGAGCGAAGGCGGAGTCCCCTCCAGGAGACCAAGAACACTGGAGGCAGCGGGGTCCGCGGGTGAGCAGTTCCCAAGGGGAAGACCTGGAGGAAGGGGCAAGTGGAGGCGAGGAGATGAGCAGAGAAGCAAGGAGGGCTACGAGCCTAGTGGTGGAGGGCCGGGGGGCCGACGCTCAGAAAGCTGGTGATAATCCTGATCCGGCCCTTCCCGACTGAGGGCTCACCCGCGTCTTGCGGCCTCGGCCTGACCGGCCCCTGTGCCCGCAGGTCTGGTTCCAGAACCGCCGGGCCAAGTTCCGCAAACAGGAGCGTGCGGCCAGCGCCAAGGGTGCGGCGGGCGCGGCGGGAGCCAAAAAGGGCGAGGCGCGCTGCTCGTCCGAGGACGACGACTCCAAGGAGTCCACGTGCAGCCCCACGCCCGACAGCACCGCGTCGCTGCCGCCGCCGCCCGCCCCCGGCCTGGCCAGCCCGCGTCTGAGCCCCAGCCCGCTGCCTGCCGCCCTGGGCTCCGGGCCCGGCCCTGGCCCCGGGCCACAGCCGCTCAAGGGCCCATTGTGGGCGGGCGTGGCGGGCGGCGGGGGCGGCGGGCCGGGCGCGGGCGCGGCGGAGCTGCTTAAAGCCTGGCAGCCGGCGGAACCCGGGCCCGGGCCCTTCTCCGGGGTTCTGTCCTCCTTCCACCGGAAGCCTGGCCCGGCCCTGAAGACCAATCTCTTCTAGCCACCGGACTCTGGAGGCTCCGGGCCTGCCCCCAGAGACGCCCCTGCCCCTCCAGGACGTGACAGAGCCCCTCCCCATTTGGGCGCCCGCCTGGAAGTGCCCATCTGTCCCCACCCCCTACCGTGTCTGACCCCTAGGTGTGCCCTCCCCAGCTTTGGAGACCAAGTCAGGACCTCTCGTCCTCACCTGCTCCTCCCAGCAGAGCGGGGTACTTTTCACTGGGACCTCCCCCCTTCCAGCTTGGCTTTCTTTGGTTGGAACCCGGATCAAATAACTGTGCTGGAACGTGAGGGTCCTCAAGTACAGTAACAGCCTGGCTCCCTCCCCTGGCTCTGCAGCTGGCTGGGTCACTCCTCACCTTAGCGACCAGCCTGCTGCCCCAGAACCTCGGGTCCACCAGTACTGGTCCTCCTTGGGATAATAAGCCGCCTGAAGGGTCGCACTGCCAATTTATCCCCTCCCATTCCCAGCCGGTCTGGCACAGAGGTTAGGCCTGTTCAGAGCAGTGGGGCTGGCCAGGGCATCGGGACAGAGGGGTTTCTCCTCTTTCCTGATTATTATTTTGGGGGGGAGGGTTGTTGTTGTTCTTTTCCTTTGAAAAACTTGTAATTTATTGAGGTGAGTTTTGCTCAATCCAAATAAAACTTAATTTATTGAAGACATCACGCTGGCAACCCTTCTGAGTACCCAGGATGGGGATAGGCTGCCTGCAAGAACCCGACCCGCTTGCAACCAGCAAGGTACCCACTGCAGCCCCACATCCGCAACCCAAGGTGGTATAGACCAGGTGACAGTGAGAACTAAGCAAACTAGCACTTTATGGCCCAGATCCTTCTCCCCACCCCCACCAGCCCCAATAACATTAAAAGTGCCCGCCCTCCCTAAACCCACGCAGAAAGCCTTAAATAAACCCCAGCCCGGTCCTTGGGCTATTCCTTCATTTCCGGACGGACACCCCCATAGTGGGGGCTGGGAGAGGTCCTAGCTGAGCCCCTCCCCCTGTGGTTCAGGCCAGGTGGAAGGCAGCAGAAACAGCGGTTAAAGTGGGGACCCAGGCGTAGCCAAATGGACGACCCTACGGGCACCCCTGGGGCTGGGAGTAGGGTTCCAGAAAAGGAGGTCAGCACCAGAACAACCGAAGTCCTTGGTAATCACGGCAACTGACCTCTGAAGCCCTGGGGCAGGTGAGGGGCAGGATGTCCTAATTAGGGCATTCCAAACGATTGGGCAGTGGGGAACGCAGATCCCCAATAAATAGCCAGAGAGGTACTGCCCCACCCCTCATAACTTTTCAACTTCGGAGCTATGGCTGGGCCTTAGTGGAGGGGTAGGGGTGCCGAGTTCGCAGCTTCGCAGTGCCACCGCTATCACTTGCTGAGCTGCAGGGTGTCCAAAAGGAGGCGCTTGTGAGCCGGGTCCTGCACCCCAGCCTCCTCCAGGTCCTCCTCGGTGATGTCGCTGTAGGGGTAAGAGAGGCTGGGAGATTGGCGAAGTGGTCTCGAGGGCCCGTAGCTCCGCCCCCGGGGCCAGCCCCACCCCATCCGCCTCCAGCCCCGCCCCCACCTGAGAAACTCCAGGTCGTCCCAGCCATTGTGCACCAGGCCCTCCTCATAGCGCTCCAAACCGATGGCCCGCAGCCAGGCGCCCATGCCCGCCTCGCCCAGCCCGCTGGCCCGCCCGCCCTGCGGGCACGGAGCCTGAAGGAATAGGGCGTGTCAGGGGGAGCACTGGAGGTACCCGCACAGAGAAGCACCCGCAGACAGCCACATTCTACTACATGCTTTAGGGGAAGAGGCAAGAACTGGGGCCGATTCAGGTGTCCCCCCCAACTCCCCAGTGCCCAGCTCAGGGCAGAAGGGACATCACTGAGTGTTGAATGGTGAAGTAAAAGGATACCACTGTCCATGGGCAAGCACACACCTCAGGTACACACAGATAGCCACCCTTGGTCCACACACCTCCTCTGCCAGGTCCTCCTGGATGCTCTCTCGGATGCGAGGCGGAGGGAAGCTGAGAGGCCGGCCATAGTCCGAGGGCAGTCCCCGGGGCGGCTGCAGCTCCAGGGGGCCTGGCAGAAGTACCGAGCGGCCAGGCCCAGCAGGGGCATAGTCCACCTCACTCAGCGTCTTGGCCATCTGCAGCACGGAGCAGGAGCGGTCGTCCCCACTGGCTACCTCCCCCAGGAAAGTGCTGGTAGGTGAGGGGCCTGGGGGCAGCGGGGGTCTTGGATGGGCCTTGGGAGGTGGTGGGCCACGGGCCTCACCCCCGCTGCGGCCCCGGACCACTGGCCCTGGCAGAGGATCCAGGCTGGGGGGCAGGAAAATGGCCGAGTCTGGCAGTGGTGGGGGTGGAAAGTCTGGAGGGGGCAGTGTGCCCCCAGACTCCTCATCTGATGAGCTCCCCTCTCCCACACGGGGGGGCCGGTGGCGCCCAAGCTGTGGAGCAGGCACTGTGATGGCCACTTTGTTCTTGGTGGCCGGCGGGACAGGGGCCCTGGCAGGCGAGGGTGGCTCCGGGGGCAGCAGCTGGTGGGGGACCCCTTCAAGGACGTAGTAGGCAGGGTTATTGAAGCTGTTCTTGGGTGGGGGGGCTGCCACCCCTTCCGGCTCTGGAGCCCCCTCTGCCTTCAACCTGGGTTTGGGAGCAGGATAATGAAGTCAGGACCCAGATACCAAAGAGAAGGCAATGGGTGCAGTGGAAGGAGAACTGGACTGGGGAGTCAGGACGGTGGGCCCCCGGTCCTACAACTGCATGTGACCTTGAGCACATTACTTTCCCTCGCTGGCCCTTGCTGTCTTCACCTCTAAAATCCAGGAGACACGATCGCTGAATAGATAATCCCTGAACTTCCTTGCCTGACTTGCTAAGATTCTCAGATCTTTCTTTCGTGACTTTGTGAAACCTGAGCTTAAATCAGGGAAAACAGGTGCCAGAAGGCAGGGCAATAAAGACCTTAATGCGAATGACCAGCCAGATCTTGTGAAAGCCTCTGGAGGCATCTGAGGCCAATCTACTGAGAAGTCTCACCCAGGGATTCAGGTTAGTTTTACTCAAGCCTGAAGATAAAACCAAGGTGACTGATAATAGGTGAAGGTGAGTGAAAAAGCACCAAACCGCAGCTAGGAGCTTTTATTTAAGTTCAAGCGACACTTGGATATAATTAGAAAGTAAGCCTCACTTTCCCCGAGTATGAGCCACAGAACACTAGTTCCCCAGGGTATTAATAGTTACTGTGTGGAAAAGAAGTTTCCTGGCCCATTAAGTTTGGGAAACTATATTCAACAGAGTTGAAAAAGGGTTTCCTTCCTGTTCAGATGCTCAGAGCTTTTGCGAATACTAATGTGCACTGGGACTGTGTAAGAAAAGAATCTAGCCAGAACCATTTCCCAAACTCATTTGACCACAAACACGTTTCCAATGGGGCATCTTGTAGGACAGTGTTCCATAGAATGCACCAGAGGAAATCCCATGCTGAGGCCAAACAGAAAGCTCAAACTAAATCTGTTTACATGGAGGGAACTGTTGCAGAAAATAACTTCTAATTCTATTTTTTATGGCAGAATCGGGAGGAAAGAATGACTGTGCTCCCGTGGACTCAGAGCCACGCCTCAGGGAGGTCTGGCTATGGCCAGAGTGCCCATAGGTATAGAGCCCCGGCACCCCCAGCCATGGGGCTTGAGATTACTCAAGCAGCAAATGGTCCCCAGGCTGGCCCTGAGAGCCAAGCACAGCAATAGATGAAGTGGGGGGTATAACAGCTTCCTTCTCTCACCTGGAGGTCAAGGGCTCCTCCCGGGGGGCAGATCGAGGTGGGGCTGGGGGCCTCCCAGTTGGTGGTGGTTTTTCTGGTTCTTCGAATAACTTGGACAGTGGGTAGGAGGCCTCTGCAGGGGCTGGTTTGCGGTTCCCTGACCTGCCAGGGGTGTACAGGGGTGAGATGAGGTAGAGGCTGACCCAAAGCCCCCAGGCACCCCTTCATGGGACCCCCAGCACAGTCCCAGCTCACCTGGGATCCTGGCTGCCTCGAGACACAGAAGGGACTTTGCTCTTTGCTCCTGCCTCATCCTTATCAATGCTGATCCACTCTGGAAGAAAAAGAAGACTCAGAGGGGACCTGGGGTTCTGGACCACAGATACCCACTGGGCCTACCAGGCCTTTTCCAGCTACTCCTCAATGCAGGCCCACTTCCAGTCATGGCTGCATAATTTCCAAATATTTCAGAGATTCTAACAAGCCCTCTCCCCACCCCGGTCCACCCCTCCTAGACGTGCCCACACCACCCCATCTTATGCCCCATATCCCTCCCAAAGGAGCCCCCACCGTAGAGTCGCTCACGGGTGCCCAGGCGCTCTGTGGGCACCCGCACCTTCATGGAACCACGGATGTTGCCTGTCTCCTCGCCGCGGTGGGACAGGAAGGTCAGGAACTGCTGGGCCGTGCTGCCAATCATGGACTTGAGTGCCACCACACACTCCCCTGAAGGGAAGATGGGGCAGACCAGCAGATTGCCAAACCTTTCTAGAGCTCTGCTTGGCTCTCCATGCCTTTTGGCACCCCTCCGCGCCCTCACCATAGGATTCGTAGCCATCCATGGACTTGACCGTGAGCAGGAGGTGCTGGTCCTGAAGGTACTCGATATCAGCCAGAATTGGCTTGAGCTGGGAACCAGAGAGGCCCAGTGAAGAACAAAGCCCCAAGCACCCCCTCCTGCCCCTGACACCACTCACCCCTACCCTCAGACTGGTCCATGCTCACTCCCACTTAAGGAGAGATCCCAAGCCTTAATGTAGAAGACACAGCCCCGCATGGGTGTCTCTCATAACATTTAACAGCATTGTCATTCATCTTCTACATCCTCAATGGCCAACACAGGACCTGACATTTAGCAAGGGCTCGAAAAGTATTTATGAACGGATGAATGAACCTGCAACTTGGTCCCACACCCCCCAACTAAGCAGGGTGCCCTCACCCTTACTCATGCCCAGCCCCACTATGCACAGGCACAGGCACACTCGCGCATGCACAAACCACATGTGCTCTGCCACACCTCTCCCTGTGCCCTCACCTATAGGCCCAGGCCCTGCCAAAAGCCTCACCGTGGGTAGCTGGCGTGAAGACCACTGCACCTTGAGGAAGTTGATGTTGTCACTGCTCTGGGCATCATTTTCGAAGCTCTTCTTGTACTCTGGGGAGAGGGAGGGGATACCCACCTGAGTGCCACCTCCTGGCTTCCCTTCCCCCTATCCTGGGGGCCGACCGCTCTGGGCACCTCGGGCTCCGCAGCCCTCTTGGCCACACCCAGCCCCGGGCCCGCCTCTGACCTTCCAGGCAGGTGGAATAGAACTCAATGAAGAACTTGGTGCGGCTGGCTGTCTTCACAATGGCCTCGATGCTCTCAAACTCAATGTAGGCCTGGTCCGAAGTCTTTGAGAGCCCTGAGGGGCAAAGGGAGGAAGGCGGTCAGGACGGCTGCAAGGGTGGCAGGAGGAACAGGACAGACACTGAGCCCTGGGACAGGAAATCAGGGGCCCTGGCAGAGGAGGAGGGATGGCCAGGAGGGGCCTCCCTAATCCCAAGCAACCAGTGGGGAGACCGCAAAGCCCAGGCCCTGGACCAGGCAAACAGATAACTCAAGGATGAGAGACCACCTAGGAAGGGGGTTGGGGCACCAGAACCCCTGCAGGGACTGCCTGCCAACAACCCTCCACACTACCAGGCACACTCAGGGGTATCCACACGGCTCCAGACAAATACAGATATCCGTGTGCTTTTATATTCACAGATAGGCACACACGCACGGGCACGCACCTTTCACGGTGCCCCGGGCACACAGACAGCCTCACACAGTACATATTCAGAAACAGTTTTGCACATACATGTCCACACCCAAACACACACACACACACACAGATATAGTCAAACCTATACACATCCCAGGCCACCCCCTGTGCCCACCCACCCACAAGCACATCCAGAACAGTCACCTTTCTTGGAGATGAACTGAGAGGTTACTCCAACCTCAAATGTCCCAAACACGGGGGAGTGGTCGCTGGTGACGATGTCATCCGTGCAACCTGGGATAGGAATGGGAGCTCAGGGGCAAGCTCTTTCCTCTCAGCTCCCAGTTCCCAAAGCTAGGGCAGAATCGGCCTGTGGCCACCCAGGACTGCCCATCACCCTGTCCAGGAGACTCTGACCATAGGAATTGCAGATGATGTGGGTCTCAGGGTAGGACTTCCAAAGAATCCGGTCACACCACGAAGGCACATTGGTCCGGACCTGGGGCAGGCGATGTCAGCATGGTCAGGGCCAACAGCCAGGGTTGCTCAGCATGAGCCCCACTGCAGAGCTGCAGAGCTGATGAGGCCCTACACTCCCACCACCCCAGGCCCCGGCACCCATCTCCCTTCTTGGGTCCTCACAACACCCAGGATCACCCACCCCTAAGGCCTGAGAGGGGCCACCAAAGCTGGAGTAGTAACTGCCCAGACCTTGACCAGACAGGCACTCTTGATTCACTGCAGCCCAAAGGAATCTCCCAAGGCCCCCCTGCCCATTCCCCTCGCTCACCCCAGTTGGCTTCTGCTTATGCCAGGCATACGTGTCCCGGGAGCCCCGCTCGTAGCGGTAAGTGGGCGGGAAGGAGATCTCTTCCTCACCTAGGGAAGGCAAGGAACAAGCAGGGCTCAGGGCCCTGAACACCCAGGCATATCATAGAGGCCCCAGCCCTCGGAGACCTGCCAGGCCCACACTCACTGAACCGAAGGAAGACCTTGTGCTTCTCGCGTTCCAAATTAAGCTGGTCCACCCTGAGCAGGGGCTCAAACTCCTTCCTGCTGATGTAGTTCAGGATCTCCTGCAGTGAAGACACAAGGGCTGGCCACTCCCTGTTGAGCCAGAGCCAGAGGTGGGAGCCCAACTGGCCCCCAGCCCAGCTTCCCTCGCAGCCACCCAGCAGCCCTGTTTGCACCTGGATATCCATGTCCAGGCGGTAGTTGAGGTCCCCAAACCAGAAGAGGTGAGTGAAACGCAGAGAGATGTCAAAGGCACTGAGCTGCCGATCGCCCAGCGAGAGCAGCCGCAGGATGTCCAGGTAGTTCTGGTTCCGCCTAGGGGGTGGGGTGGGAGGCCCAGGGTCAGGGGCCAGGGACTGGCAGGAAGGTAAGAAGTCTCTGGGGTCAGGGATGGGGTGTGGATCAGGGTCCCTGGGGACAGAGGAAAGAGCTGGGAACAAGATCAAGGCAGAGGAGTCTTGAGTTGGGACAAGAGAGAAGGCGGTGTCTGGGGACAGGGATGTAGGAGGGTCATGGATTGGGATATGGGAGAGGGGATAGGTCTCAGGGGAGGAGGGAATGAGGGTAAAGACTTGGAAAGGCACCCCTCACCGGGCGGTTTTCTCATTTCCTGAGGTGAGGTGGCAATTCACAAAGCCAAATGAGGTGCCATTGAACATGAAGGAGACTCCCACAGCTCCCTTGTTTCCTGTCAGGGCAAGCAAGAGAGGAGGGCCTGCGTCACCTTTGGAGGGCTCCCAACTCTCCCCTCTGCCCCTCGAAGCAGTGGTGGGAAGGTCCTCCCACTCCCCCCGCCCCGCCCCAGATGCTATGAGGCAGGCAGGCCTCTAAACGCATCCCCCCTTCCCAGGGGGCCACACAGGGCACACGCCATCCATCTGGGTGGCCTGAGTCTCCGCATGTGTGAATAAAGCCCCTGCAGATCACAGGGGATCCCAAAGGTGGAGCTGAAAGCACCCGCAGATTCTGAGCAGAATCTCCGCTGAGGGAACGCTGGGCCACAAACCAAAAGGCCACCACGTACTAGCTGTGTGACCTTGGACAGGTCACTCAGCGACTCTGGGCCTCAGTGTTTTTGGGGTTTTTTTGAGGTTTATCATCTATGTAATGGAGATAATTATCCTGGCCCTGCCTTCCTGGTGGTGCTAGAAGACATTTAGAATATGAATATGTTTTACAGGGTTCAAAGTTCTATATATGAGAAAGCTGAGACCACCCAAAAAGGGGAGACTACGGGCTGGAGAGAAAGCAGAAGGTATGGACAGAGAGACCCTGCCCACCCTACTCACCCAGGGTGTTGGCGATGCCAGTCTTCACGCTGGATGTACTGACATGGCTGATTCGGTTCTCATGCTCTGGCTTGACCAGAACAGCTACCTTGATGTTCCACAGTGACTGCATGGCAATCTGGGGAGAGGGTTCAGGGTCACCCCTGCCCTGGGCTGGGGCACTGTCCACATTCCCCCCCAACACCCCTGCCTATACCATAGACTGTGCTGTCAGTCACAGGATAGAAAGGTCTGCTACCCCTTTTTCCTGAGGGGCCAGAGAGAAACACAGCATGTTCCCACAGCACGAAGGACTCGTTAGATCTCCTAAAGGATATGCCCGGGGGCCAGAGGGAAAGCCAGTCAAGTTGTGCTCCCCAGGGTCGCCCATAAGGTCAAGCAGGATAGTTTGGGGTGGTGTCCGAGGAGGGGGGACTGGACAAGATGACCCCCCCTCACCGGGCGATAGTCCAGATCTGTGAGTTCCTTGAGGCCCCCGCGTAGCAGGTCCAGCCACTCGCGGTCGCCCACTGAGTTCTCCTGGGTCCCAAAGACATAGATGTCATGGGGTATGGTCACTGTGACCTCATCCAGGGTTTTCCCGAGACCCTTCGATGTGAACCAAGATGTCACGTTTTTCGGAGGTGGCACACTTCCTGGAGGAGAAGGGGATGGGGGGTGGTCAGGCCCCTGACCTGGGGCTATTCCTCTCTCCCCGCCCAGCCCCAACCTGGGCCTGACCCATGTTCCAGGTGCCTATGAAGACAGAGATCATGTCGGGCTCATCTTGCTTGGAGTGCTTGTTCTTCATGAGTTGCAGTAGCTGGCAGAAGGCCTCCCGCTTCTGGGGGGACAACAGCCAGTTAGGGGAGGTTCCTGGTAGGTGGCAGGTCCCACGAGGCGAGGGTCATGTCTCTGTGGTCCCCCATTCAAGCATATCACAGGTGCTCAATAACCGCTCACTGGATGGACCTTTGACTCCACCCTCAGACCACCCATTCTCAATACATATACTCTCTGCCCTGTCAGATCCACTCCTGCCAGGAGGGACGACCCACCTATATCACGTGTCTCCTCTCTTCCCACCCCACAGGGACCCCTGCAGCCCCCAGGGCCTAGCCCAGCAGGCTGCTCACCCGGGCACTGACAAAGATGAAGTCCTTGCGCTGTGTCCGATCCTTCTCCTTCTCAAACACGACACCCAGTTTGTTCTGGACACGCTGGGACTTAATGAGCTGGCGGACTAGAGAATGGAGTACGGTCTCACTGGCCCGGGCACTGAGGCCTGAAGGCCACCCTGCTCACTGCCCCTGGTCAGGCCCTGGCTCACTGCGGTCATGTGTGAAGGTCGTCCAGTCCTCCTGCGAGTCCCGCTGTCTCCGCAGCAGCACCAGCCGCCCGCCCTCCACATCCACGCTCAGCGTGAACTTCTGCGACTTCCCGATCTTGGTTAGGTCGCCCAGAGTCACATCCAGCTTCACCTGCGGGTCATGAGGTGGGAGGGAGGGGCGCCTGCTGGAAAGACCTCGGGCAGGGGACACCCCCTTCACCCCCAATGGCCCTTTGCCCCAGAAGGCCCCACCTGACACCCCTCCGTACCTCAAAGGCCTGCACGGGGATGGTCTTGGCCTTACGTATGGATGGCTGCAGCGGAGCTGGCGGGGCTGTGGAGCTCATGTCCTGCAGGGCCTTCAGGGCCTGGAGCGGGGAAGGGCAGGCAGGGTCAGGGGACATGCGGAGAGCTGGGGCCAGGAGGGGCATGGCTGATGTTGGGGTCAATGCTAAACTGTAGATTCAGGGTGGAGATCCATTAGGCTAGTGCAAATAGTCAGGGACTGGTAGGTGAGGTCCGAGGTCAGGAGTCAGGCTACCTTCTTCTGGATGCCTGACAGGAAGTCCTTTAACACGGACAGCTTCAGCACCAGGCTCTCCAGCTCCTGCTCCCCAGTCTGCGGTGGAGTCTGCACAGAGCCAGGATGAAGCTTGTACATGAGGCCAGCAAGCAGGAGGTCCCCCAGCCAGCCCCAGACACGAGCCCATTCCCCACAGGCCTCCCCGTAATCCCACCTGCTGCTGCAAAAGGCGGGTCACCATGGGAGAGCTCTGCTGGTCAAACACCTTGGACAGGATCTCCAGGCCCGACAGGACCTTGTCCACCTCACTAGGGGACACAACTGGTCAGAATGCCCCCTCCCCACCCCAAGTACAGGGCAGGGGGGGCTTCAGCCTCCACCGCGAGGATACAAGGCTTCGGGTGAGGAAAAGTCAGGAAACAACAGCTGGATCCCTGTTCAGGGCCAGAGATCAGAGGTATGGACATTTGTGCAACAAGGGGGCAGGTGAGGAGAGGCTGCACGCATGGGGCTGGGTGGCCCAGGTACCTGTGCAGCCTCCGGCATGAGGTGGCAAGGGTGCGGGTAAGGTGGGGCAGGTTGCTGGCTCCGCCTCGCACAGCCTCCAGGTCCAGTCCGTAGCTACCCTTCAGGTACTCGTGCGAGACAGTGCTCAGCCCATTGGGAGCACTTCAGGGAGGGGTTGAGAAGTCAGTGAAGCACCGGCTGACCCTGTGCCAGCACTCCCACCCTGTCCCTGGAGGAGATGGGGCTGGTAGTGATCAGAACACCATGGATCAGGGTGGCTGCCTCTGGGGGTGGAGTGGGGCCTTAGAAGGTCCCTCCCCCTTTGATGAGGACACAGTTCTCAGAGGGGAAAGGGAATGCCGGCTCCGTGTTGGGGGGTGGCGGGGGTTGTGCTCTTACCTCTCAGCAGCTGGACTTGTGGGAGTCTCAGGGGCTGCTGGGAGGCTGCCGGGCCCCACGGGGGCAGAAACACTGGTGGAGCCAGAACGCGGGGGCAGCGGGGGCTTCTCATCCTCACCATCTGTGGACAGGAGTCAGTGGGCCTCCCCTCCCCCAGTGAAGTAGAGATACTCCCATGGAAGTGGGGGAAAGGGCCCTGGCATCATGGTCAGGAGCAGGGGGCTCTGGGGGAAGGCAGGTTGAGGAGGCGGGAGGGGAAGCAGCAGGTGGCGTCTGGGAAGGGGCAGGGAGGCACAGCGGCAGCACCTGAGACATCACGGTCGTCAGGGGGGTCTGGCTCGCGCTCCCGCTCCACAGGCAGCAGCAGGGCACACACAAGGCCCTGGCTGGGCTGGGCGTACAGGCCGATGAGCTCGCCCAGGGTCTGGAAACGGCGCACGGGCACGCCCTGCGAGGTCTGAGAACCAGCAAGGGTGGCAAAAGCGTCAGCCAACTGATCCCAAGCCACAGGACGGAATCAAGGCCAGGACTCAGGGTCCAGGCTCCTACCTGCACGGCCAGGAAGTCTTCTCCATCAGGTAGAATTCGATATGTATGCACGTGCTTCTGATACCTGATGACAAAGCAAGAGTCAGAATCTGTCGCCCTCTGGCTGGGGTCTAAGCCCCAAGGCATGCCTTCCTCCTGCTACCGGGCTCAGCCCTCAGCTCCCTCAGCTTGGTTTTCCTAAAACCTTTGCTCAGGCCGCACAGGGTGAATGAGGAGGCCAGTCCACTTGTCTCCTGCTAGTGTTGCCAACAAGAGCAGGAATGGCCGGCCTCCCCCCCGCCACCCCTCCACCCAGACCTACATAGGCTCCACACCCACCACAGGGCCCGGGAAGCAACAGGCAGCTCTTCTGTGGCCTCCACAGCTGTCTAAACAGCCCCTCTGGGCTGTGGTACCAGCTCTGGCCCCCTGCCAGAGTAAGCGTCCTCAGAAGCCTGGTTAACCTCTGTTTGCACACATAGGAGACGTGCTCACACACGTGTGCGCCTGCTGTCTGTGTTTATGTTGGTGTCTGGCTCTGCTGGAGTTGGCTGTGTCGGGGGCCGTTTTGTTAGGAAGTATGCAGGTACCCTGGCTTTCTTCCCACTTCCCCAGACACCAGGACATTGGGATTCCCCAAGAGGGCCCCCCTATGGGAAACCTAGGCCTCTAAGAGCCCCAAACTGAGGAGGGTGCTGACAGATGGCAGCAACAGCTGAGCAGGTGACAGCTGAGCCTGGCCTGGGCAGCACGGGCCACACTCAATGGGGATGGAAGACTCCTTCTGCAGCCAAACTTCAGGTAGGCTTACTCAAGGGAGCCCCCCCCCCCCGGGCCCATGTGTGTGCTGGGCACCAGAGAGGACCAAATGCCCACTTGAGGGGACCCTACACCTTGGCCACAGTCCATCCCCTCCACTCAGGTAGGCCCCCTTCCGGAGCTCTCGCGGCTGCTGACGGGGCAACGTTCTGTGCAGGTGTCTGTGTGGGCACAACTCTGTGGGCTGTATTTACAACAATAATAGCATCCCATTAACTGAGTCGTGTCTGTAGGACACCCTACAGGTGTGATCTCATTTAATCCTCACATTTTGATACAGATATTCTCCAGAAGAGGAAACAGGCTCAAAGAGGAAAAGCAATTTGACTCCAGTCGCGGGGTAAGTATAAGGCAGAGCTGGGACTTAAAGCCAGGGCAGAGGCCAGTGCCTGTCAGAGCAGGGGTGTGTCCTGAAATGTCACCCACGGACATGTGGGTATGTATACAGGTAAGCAAGTATGTTTCTGATTACCTACCCCCACGCTTCTATCCCATTTCTGACCCGCGCCCCCACCGCCGCCCCGCAGACCCAGGCTCTTAAGATTCAAGGAGTAGCCAGAGTCAGCTGGCAAAGCTGAAGCCCCCAGTACAGACAGACCCTCACTCCACCCATCTCCCCTAGCTATGGAGCCAGGACTCTCCCCTCCTGGGACAATAATGTTCCTCCCCCAGACACAGGCCCAGCTGTCCCCCTCCCACTCAACAGCTGACCCAACACCTGCCTCCCTCCCCTCCCTAATTAGGGGGTATGCCCCAGAGGGGGTTGGGAGGCAAGACTCTAGGAGAGTTATCTGCCAAAGCAGTTTCTTGTTAGTCTCTCCTGGGCGTCAGACTTGGAGCATGAGCTGAGACTTAGGGGACCCCCTCTTCTTCAGGTCCACTGCCCCGGTCAGAGCTTCTCGATCCCAGCACCACTCACGTTTTGGACTGCACAGTTCTTTGTTGTGAGGAACTGTCCTATGCACTGCAGGATGTTTAGCGGCATCTCTATGGCTTTTACCCACTAGATGCCAGTAGCACTATCCCAGCTGTGACAACCAAAAATGTCTCCACACATTGCCAAATGTCCGGGAGGGGTAAAATCAACCCCAAATGAGAACTACTGGCCCAGGCCAGTGCGCCCCCAAAGAAGTGAAGAGAGCAGAAGTGTAAGGGACACAAATATAGGGGTTTGGGAGGGTTCACAGGGCTAAGGGGGATATAATCAGACCCTAATGCCCACAGTAGTCCACCTAGTATCAGACAATGGGGCACAGGAGACAGCTCAGGGAGATGACTCCAAACCCACCAAACTTACCCAGAACCACTGCCACACACAGCGGATGGCTACAGAGGCAGGACCAGACCCACTCAGAGAGCTGCCAAGTCTCACCCACGTTCAGCACCCATAGCTCAGGGCTACGGCGGCCAGGATCCCCAGGACCAGGGCACAGGCGCATGCTCATTGATTTATGAAATAATGACATGGCCCCATATAGCTTTGCCTCCCCCATCCTTCTCAACACCACCCTGCCCCTCAGCCCCAGACATCTACAGCCCCACAGGTCCCAACCTCAGTCCTGGGGGCATAGAAAGGACCCCTAAGGAAGCTGCTGGGCGTCCTCACAGATCCACTGGTCTCTCTGGCCCCAACTCCCTCCATGCCTACTGCTCAGACACCCCATCCCTGTATAAACAGAACTACACACAACCCTGGAATGCACATCCACACATCCTCACCCCTCCTAACCCCTTCTGCCTGAGGGTACCTGAGGGGGTCTGCCAGAGACTCCCTGCATTTTCCGCCCTTACAGCCACCCTGGCCAACAGGACCCCACATACTCTGCCCTCGACGCCCCAGAGAGTGTCCCCAGACACACAGCAGGAAGGAAGTGCCCCCTGCATCCTTCCTCAGCCCCGGCTTAAAGCCAAAGCCCCCACTGTTGGGGGCGCTGGCGTCCCACTGTCCCAGGCCCTCCGCACACACGCAAGGAACCTGGGGCCGCGTCCCCGCCCGCAGGGAGCCCCAGCCCCACTCACAGGACGCAGAGCGCGAAGGCTCCCGCCACGCTCTCGCTGTCTCGGACCAGGAAGCTGCCATCGCGGCCTGCCCGGGCCAGCAGCTCCTCGGCGGCAGCGCGGCTCAGGTCGCGGTGGTACCAGGCGGGGGCCGGGCTGCCCAGCGCGCCCCCGGGCCCCGCACCCCCCGGGCCCGGCGCCCCGCACGCCGAGGCCATAGCGCGCGCAGGGCTCAGCGCCGCCCGCGCCCACCGCCCCGCGCCATCCGCCCCGGGACGCTCGGGGCCGAGGCTGGGGCCGGGCCCGGGGCCGGGGCCTGAGGATCCACGGACCGGACCGAGCCGGGGGTCGGGGGCTCCGCGCTCCGCCGGGCAGGCCGACTCGTTCGCCGCACCGCCGCCGCTGCCGCCGCCTGCAGCGCCGGCCTCAACTTGAAGAGAAAGAAAAGTTTGTTCAGAGGCGGCGGGGGAGGGGCAGGAGCACAGCGCAGAGCCGGGCGGCCGGCCCCCTCCCCCTCCGCTCGGCCCACGGCCCGACCGTCCCTACCCCCACCCTCTTCCCCGTGGGGATGATGGCCCCCGCATTCCCGCAGGACGCGGGACGCCCCAAACCCACAGTGATCCTGCCCCGCCATCACCACTCCTAGGAGATCCAGACCCTCCCCCCAACAACGAAGGTCAAGTTCCCCCTACCCTTCTCCTGGACGTTTTGGGATCCCGGCCCCCTCTCCGGAGTTAGCCCCCTCCAACAGTCGCAACGATATGATCCCCAATTCCCATAAACGTCTAATCCCACCCCAAATCTTTTCCATTCACCTCCCTTGCAGCCTCAAAGGGTCGGGTCGAATTCTCAAAACCCGCGAGGGATCCAAGAGGAACCTCTTCCCTGTCCTCGTTACCCGAGCGGCCCGACTCTCAACTCCCGTGAAATCCAGGCCCCTCTTCGACCTGAACCCCCAAACTGCACTGGGTCCAGCCCCCTACAAATCCCGCTGGGGGAAATCCCCTCCATAGAAACCTGATCTCCCACAAACCCTCAGACAAGGTCCAGTGTCCTCGATTCCCCACGCACGTCCCTGGCAGCCCCTCGCAGCCGAGGCAAAGCCCTTCCCCCCCTCCCGGCCAAGTTCCCTGGCACCATCCCCCATACCCGCAGGCCCGGGCCTTGAGGGGTTCAGCAGCCCGAGATCAGGCGCCCCCCACTCCGCCACTGCCCTTCTAGAAGAAAGTTCCCTCCAACCCCTGGGCTCCCGACTTCTCCCCAGAGACGCAGCCGCCGCGCGCAGACCCCCACCTCCTGGGCCGCTCCGAAGCCCCCTTCCCGGGGGAAGCGGCCCTTGACTCTCAGCGGCCACTTAAGATGGCCATCCTCTGCCGCCGCACCCCCCCTCGCCTTCCGCCCCGCCCGCCGCTCCGCCCCCGCAGCTCTCGGCCGAGCCGGGGGTAGCACCCGCGCCCCGCCTTCCCCGGCCCCCCGTCTCGATCCCCCAGCCACTGACCCGCTGAGTGACCTCGGGCAAGTCACGACACCCCTCCGCGCCTCGCCTTCCCGCTCTGCAGAGTGGGGGCAGTGTTATGAGGGCAGACTCAATGGGACCGTGCTTGTAAAGCTCTCCGCACGGGGCCTGGCATCCAGTAACCCTCCAGAACAGCGGCTATTTTTATTATTAATTAAGGAGTAACGAAGGTGACAGCTGTGTAAACTGTAAAGCGCGGCGCCAGAACGAACGTGTATTATTAGTACCCGCCCCCGCCCCAGCTACTCCCTCCAAGACGACAAACTTGAGCCTTTGTGGGCGGGACGCCGACCCGGGAGCTCCCCAGAGCCCGTACGCTCGGACACCCCCCGGCGCCCAGGGTGGGAGGGGTACCGGTCGCCGGAAAGGGGGCGGGGCCCACAGAGGGTCTGGCCCGCCCCTTCCCCCCAAAAAAGACCTAGCCGGTGGCAGCGTCTCCCGGGAGTCCGCTTCCTGCCCCGCCCCTCCGCCCCTTGGCTCCTTAAAGGCGCAGGCTTCCAGCCTAGCTCCCGCAGCTGCCAACCCCTGGGCCGCCCTCGGCTGATCCCCTTTAACCTGGGAGAGAACTTTCACTTTGCTCAATTGAACCTGTGTCTGGGTCAGTCCGGACTAGCTCCTTCCTCTATTTCAAATACGCGTTGGATTAACCCAGCTGGAACAAAGCCTGGGACACAGAATGGGCTCTGTGGGGGCCTTCCAGACTAGGTAAATAAAGTAGCTAACAGACACCCCCATACATCCCGGTGTCTCCAGACCCCTCCAGGAATCCCATAAGTCATCCGCCACAAACTGCCCGGCTTCCCCCGTCACTCAGCTCTAGGTATGAGGGAAGGTGAGTGCCATGAAGAGGGCACCCTGGTGCGGTGGGGAGGGGAGAGGCCTGGACTAGGAGTCTTCACACCTGGGTTCTAGTCCTAGCTTGATCACCCACCTGCCTGTTGTTCTCAGACGGGGACCTGTGGCTCTCTGGGGATAACTGTGAGGGGGATGTAGAGACAAAGACTTCCCCAGGGGAAAAGGGCAAGAGGGAGACCCCGAGATCAACTTAGGCCCAGTTCCTGGGGGCTGTGCAAAGACAGGATAGGCATATCTAGCAATCCCTGGAGGGGACAAAGGTGCCAGAGAAGAGGCCAGGCTCCTGCCCCTGGGAAGCCCCTAAGAGTTCCCAACCTTTTTCCATCCAAGCCTCTAGAACTCAGCTAAGCCAGTTCGAGGCTCTTGAACATTTCCTCTTCCAGGAGCCTCCCAGGCTGCCCTCCCCAGTCTTCTCTCTTCCTCTTCTGAGGGTCCAAGCCTCAACTCTGTCCCTTCAATCCACATCACGTGTGAACTTTTCTTCACCCCCCACTGGGAATCCAGAGCCTTCCCTAGACTCCCATCCCCAGCTTTCCCATTGCAGAGCTGAGCACAGAGCCAGGCAGGCTGGGCCTGGGAGAAAGGGGGGATATTTGGGGCCCAATATAAGTAACAAAGCCCTGGACCCAGCTCCCATTTGTGGCTACAAGAGCAACAGAATCCCTGAGGACTATTAAAGTGCAGGCACTGGGCTCACATGCTTTCTAGGCAATAGCTCCTTTGTGTTTCACAACCCGGAGGGAAAGAAGGACCATTATCCCCATTTTATTGAGGAGGAAACTAAGCTTTAGAAATAGACAGACAACTGCTTCACTTTGGCATAGTCAGTAGCAAAGCTGGTATTCAAACCCAGGTCTCATTTCTCTGACCTGAAGGAATACAGAAACTGTGGAATCTGTCATCTACCCACTCAAACCAAAATAATTCATCTGACATGGATGTGTCAGTTTTTTTTTTTAATTTTATTTATTTATTTGACAGAGACACAGCGAGAGAGGGAACACAAGCAGGGGGAGTGGGAGAGGGAGAAGCAGGCTTCCCGCCGAGCAGGGAGCCCGATGCGGGACTTGATCCTGGGATCATGACCTGTGCCAAAGGCAGACACTTAACAACTGAGCCACGCAAGTGCCCCTGGATGTGTCAGTCTTTTTATTTGAGCTGACTGCCAGAGAAACCCCAAGGCCCACCATGGAGGAGGAATGGGATGACAGAAGGATGGATAATGGCTGGAGGCATGCTTAGGGCTCCCTCTGTGCCCAGCTTGGTCATCAACACTGGGGACATGCAGAGAGGATGTCTGGGTAGGGCTAGACTCAGCGGAGCAGCCAGAGCTGCTGCATCAGGGCCAGGCTGAGCAGGAGAGGCTCCACCCCTCGGGGCAGGGCCCCGGCACTCATGGCCAGGGCATAGAACCTCGCCACCTCCTCGTTGGGGTTGCCCTGGGCTGGGTCGAACCACAGCTGGATGCAGCGGCCGCTCCCTCGGCTGTAATTGCTGAGTTTGTAGGAGTGACTCCAGAGGCCCTCACACAGGGCTGCAGGCGTGGGAAAGTAGGTCTCAAATGTGCGGCAGGTGGTCCCAGCTGGACACTTGTTAATTCCTGCAGGCGGAGAGGGCGTGGACGCAGACATTCAGCCCCTGGGCCCGAAGCTGGTTTCTGGCCACCCCCAAATCCTCCAACCCCACCTGCGTCTCCCCCCCACCCCCCAGGCCCTCACCTGAGGTCCAGTCCCAGCCCCTCTGCCAGTTGCTCTTGCAGGTGTAGGAGGTGCGACAATCCTCCCACCATTGCTGGCAGTCCTCTTTGCACAGGGGCACGTGCAGGAAACGCTCCTTGCGCCAGCTCTGGTTCACCTGGGTGGGAGGGGAGGGTGGGGGGACGGGGATGTGGGCCGCCTGCAGCCTTGACAGAGCTGGCTGGCAGCCTGCTGGGCTGGGGTGAGGGAAGGTCCCGTACCTCCCAGATCCAGGGCCCCAGGTTGGGTGAGCACTCATAGAGACAGTTGTCCTGGATGAAGTGGCGCTTGCAGGCAGGCTCCATCTTGCTGCAGTGGTCCCAGGTGAAGTTGTACAGGAGGGAGGTGTCCTTGTGCAGCTCCTGGCTGGTGCTGGCTGAGCAGCAGGCCTTCTCCTTCCAGGGAGTGCACTGCGTGGGGAAGACACCGGACTAACTGCCCCCCCCCCACACACACATAACAACCTTCTGCTACCTCCAGCCTCTCCCCATTTGGTTCTTGCTCTCCTGCCTCAGGTGGGTTGTCTTAGGAAAGTTTACTGTGAGGACCCCTCTGTCCTTGACCTCCAGGAACTCCCGTCCTGGGGGAGACTCAGTCACAACAGGGCTGATCAGGGGTCCTGGGAGCCGGAGAGAAACCCCGTGTTGGGGGGACAATAGCTATCATTGATGTAGCCCTTCACACTTTATAGAAAGTTCTTTGTTGTATTCATTAAAAAATAATTACTGAGTACCTATTCCTATTCCAGTCACTGTTCTAGATGCTGAGAATACGATAGAGAACAAAACAGACAGAAATATGTGTTCATGGAGCTTACATCCTGATCAGTGGGGACAGACAGTAAGAAACTGAAAGAGAAAAAAATATGGTGTCAGGATCCAGTCAATTATATGGAGATTACAGCAGGGAATGGGAGAGTGGAGTATGGGATAATTGTTGAAATTTTAAATAAGGTGGTTGTGAAAAGCCTCACCAGAGGGTGCCTGGGTGGCTCAGTTGTTAAGCATCTGAGAAGCCTGCTTCTCCCTCTCCCTCTCCCCCTGCTTGTGTTCCCTCTCTCTCTGTGTCAAATAAATAAATAAAATCTTTAGGGGAAAAAAAAGCCTCACCAGAGGGTGACATTTTGATCAAAGGAAGAAGGCAATGACCTGTGTAGTAACGTATGTTGAATAACTTTCTCCTTGGCGAGTATTAAGGTCTGTGTCCCCAGCGATGAGGCCAGTGCCAGAAACGTGGCAGGCCCATAAAAAATATTTGCTGAGAAAAGTAAACGAAAGACCTCTCTATGATTTCCTAAATCTAAACTGAACTCCATCTTACATATAGACACACCATATTTTAGCAAGTTTTTAATATAGACCGGCTTTTTCAGGACAGCAAATACTGTGAAAAGGAAAGCCGTGCTATGTGTTTTGTTTTACCAGAGTTATTCACTGTTTTAGAAAATTACGTCATCATGCCAACACAGCTTAGAGTATCTTGTAGGATTTAAGTTGCCAATAGAAGACACCTGTATCGATCTTCATCTGTAGTTGCCCTATTCATAGTGATTTTGTGAATAGAAGCAAACATGCTATTCGGTTTTTTTTTTTTTTTAAGATTTTATTTGTTTATTTGACAGAGAGAGACACAGCGAGAGAGGGAACACAAGCAGGGGGAGTGGGAGAGGGAGAAGCAGGCTTCCTGCCGAGCAGGGAGCCCGATGCGGGGCTTGATCCCAGGACCCTGAGACCACGACCCGAGCCCAAGACAGATGCTCAATGACCGAGCCACCCAGGCGCCCCCAAACATGCTATTTGATAGTAATTTCTAATGGAGTCATGCCAGGGAATTGACATATTGAAATATACTTTATTGGGGCACCTGGGTGGCTCAGTCGTTAAGCGTCTGCCTTTGGCTCAGGTCATGATCCTGGGGTCCTGGGATCGAGCCCTGCATTGGGCTCCCTGTTCCACGGGAAGCCTGCTTCTCCCTCTCCCACTCCCCCTGCTTGTGTTCCCTCTCTCGCTGTGTCTCTCTCTGTCAAATAAATAAATAAAATCTTCAAAGTACCCTCCAACCACTATTTAAAAAAAAAAAAGAAATATACTTTATTATAAGTTACTTTCTTCGTGCTTCTCCTTTGTAGTACAGATAGAGAATCATGTTGATATTTTTTAAGTTAAATGTGCAAATAGGTTCTATTGGCTTTGAATTTTATTCCAGGATAGAAAAAGAGTCTAAAGAGTATTTATTGGAACACCTGGGCGGCTCAGTCAGTTAAGCGTCTGCCTT